TTTCAGTAATAATATAATAAGTTTACATTATCTTTCTAAATTACATGATAAAAATATACCTAATTGATATGACCATCTTTGTTAGCGACAAAACTTGAATGAATTGTTTCAAAATTTAAGACCATGGATATATGTTTATGTCTTGTTGATAAGAAGATTGTATGTTAAATGTAAAATTGTTCTTTTTAGGATTGGACAAAGCGAGTTAGCGGATTGACCGTTTTAATCGCCCTCCAACGAATTGTATAGACTACAGTCCTCAAACAAAATACTTTTTCTAATGTAATATTCATGCTATCGTTCTACATTTGCACCTCTATATTAGACAGAACTGCGCCTACTTGTCTTATATTGCCAGACAAGTTTGCAAAATTTAGACGGAATACGATCTAGAGCGCTGTATTTCATACTTTACGAATATGTATATACACTGTATACAAAGAGTTTACTTAAATTTGGTGTACATTTCACAAGGCCAATGAGTAAATACACTTTGAAGTTTAATTTTCTCATTGTTTTATTGTTAAGCGATGAATTTCGATGGAGGGAACGAAAACGAACCAATGAAGTAATAAGAAAGGAGCACCCCATGAGGCGGCTTTTGTCTAAATCCTTCAACAATAATGCATACTGCCATCGTCTTTTTTACTCATTGACAAGTTGAGTTCCCTGTGGTTCAGTCGGTCGCGATTTGTCGTGTATGTGGCGTGCCGGGAAAATTGTTGATGACTTTGACGTATTTTTCTGAATATGTGAATAGTATTATTAATTCCAAGCAACTGGTTGGCTTTCTCCATTACATTATAAACAGAGAAAACATTCCTGATTGTACAAGTACGCGTACTTCGTTGTGTATATACCTAAAATTGGCATTCCATGTGCGTTGATAATGGTTGCGAAGAAATTACAAACCAATCCCAGAATATTATTGACGATATGCATTGCTGTGGCGGGATTTTTCATATCGATATCACATTACATATTCAATTTGATTTATACAGTTCAGCCTACACCTTATCTGGACGAAATTTTTCACATTCCACAAGCCACAAAATATTTTCGTGGTTTATTTCATGAGGTAAATCTGTTTGTGCATTTCATATTGACAGTGAAATAAATTATTATTTCTAATGGTAATAAAACATAACTTCAATGTTTCTAATAGTTTTCTAAGGCGTGTGTATTTATTTCTACAACTGTCTGTTGTTGTTTTTTTCCAATTTGAAAAGTCATATGCCCAATTTTTTCTGAATCCCAAATTTTTTTCTGTAAACAGGTTTATATTTTTTACAGTTTATATATTTAATTCTGAGTTATTGATAACATGTCAATATCAGACATCGATCTGATATTCTTTTGTGCTGCTAATTATTTTGAAAACATAGGATTCACTTACATATTTACTTTTTAGAACCTGGGAAAGTTATGATTGAGAAAATGATTTTTAAAGTTAATATTGTGATATTGAAAATACTAGTAATTTGTGGTTAGTTTGCAAAATAGTATAAAATGATTTGATTACAAATTTACTTTTGCCTACATGTAAGCTTAACTAGTGTGTGTTAACTTAATAATGTTTCAGAGAATTTGATTGAGTACAAATATTCTAAGAAAACATTTTCAGATGCATTGACAGGTAGTATGATAGATAGTATAGCATCTAAATTAGAAGGCTTATAAAAATCCAGACATGCAGAAGAGTGATTGCGTTTTAATAAAGGACTTAATTGTTCTTAGAATACTGCGTAAAATTTTCCCCAAATAATGGGTTGTGTGCATTTTCATGAACTATGGTACATAATGATTTTATTTCCTTTATTAATTATTGTATTTATTTCCTTTATTAATTATTGTATTTATTTTATCTGCCTGATTTGTATCATGTTTTGGTCAAGTTTTGGTTGATTTATAATTCTTTTTTCTTTTCAGTGGGACTCAAAAATTACCACTTTGCCTGGACTATATCTTCTTTCTGTGGGAGTTTTGAAGCCTGTGTCATGGCTAATTGGAAAAGACATATGCAATGTTTATGCTCTTCGTATTACAAATTTGACTGCATGTGTCGCAAATTATTACTTATTATATACCATTCAGACAAAATTACAGCAATCAAGAAAGGTAAGTAATTTTAAGATTTGGTGTACAATTGTTAATGTAAATTCTTTGAGTGAATCTGCCTACTGGAGCCAAGGATGTAAACAAATATTTTGAAATAATGATAATAATTAAAATATATAGTGGTCTGTGTGCATATAATTACGGTATGGATCCACAGCATAAACACATTAATGTAAAAATGTTTTATTGAATGGTCTCTATAATAGAAATGTAATGTTTGATGCTGAAATAATATTGCTGAAACATTGCTTGTAGAACTGCAGTTTAATTAATTTAATATTTTCCCCAGTATGTTAAAAAATAAATTAGTGATACCATGGGAGTCTCTTGCATGTAAATTTTTGGGGGGACATTACAGGAAGTCATTTAAATGTTACTATCTCCACTTCATTTTAGTCTACATTAATTTCTGAATTCCTTTAATGAAGGTCAAGTTATTCTGACGCTATTCAGTAATATACATTGACCAAGTGTAGAAAACTATGGAAGCCATGGACACAGAAATGGTGGTGGTGATGTTTTGAATGGAAGTGGTGAGAAGCAATGTGCTTATTGGTACTCTTTGGTAAATATAAAAAGGCAGACTTACAGGAATGTACTCAGGTCCTACATGTACCTGCCAGTTTGGGAGATCCTTCACAGTATTCCTTTCCCATGCACTTTGGACTAATTAAGGACAAGGAGACATTTTTTGTGCACACTTTGTTACTGTTTGTCTGAAAGTTACATGATAAATATCATTATTATAAAAAGTTTTACTGAAAGTGCATCTTTTTTGAAAATGAAATTAGGACAAAACAAGTCCACCCTGTTTTCTTTGCCAGAGATGTCCATGGCAAAATCTTCGATTAGCATTAAAAGATAATTATAAAGGGACTGTCACAACTTTATTTGATGCAAATTTGTAATTTTATTGGAACATAAAATTATTTCATCTTTGAGTTTTAATCATTTGGGTTTACTATGCTGAATAACTGAATTTTATCAGATCAGTTACTGTTATATTTCAACAAATTTGATTTATTGGTAATGTGAATATGTGTTTAGTCATACTTGCTCATAGTCACTCATACGTATTGACAATTTGGACAAGGAATAATATTGGAAATATTAAATACCAATGATTTTTCTTGATATTTGTATATTATATTAATGAAGATACAACAATAAGAAAAAACTTATTTTTTTTATTTTACCATGAAACTATATGATTATAATGCAAAAATTGTATTTATTTTGTTATTAAATTATTAATCCTTTGACATGTAGATGACCAGAAGTGACTTTAATGACCCTTCCATTTTTTTTTGTACCGTCATCTACAAAAATGCACGATTGTTCAAAATCTGAAGAACTGGGGAATTCATGTTTCTAGGGTATAGGGGAGTAAGACAATGAAAACTACCCCAAATAAAATGCTGCAGTCCCTCAGACCGGGAGGTCCTAGGTTCGAGTCCTGACAGTGACAGAATGTTCGACACTAGCTTGTCAGCCATTAATAGGTCGCGTTCAATCGCTGTCTGCAGGATTCTGGTGGCCGACAGCTCTGATCGGTAGTTTTCCGTGGTTTCTTCGATCAACGCCAGGCGAATGCCGGTGTAGTACCCTAATAAACGAACCGCGTGCGACATTACCTTTCTCTTCTTTGTCCCATCTCCACCCCTTACACACACCTACACCAACATGCACTACACTACCACAATTGCCGGGAGACCGGTCGGGAGCTTAGAGTTTGGCTCGGCTAGGGCGATACCCTGCTGTTGGGAGATATCTGGTTGAAGAAAACCCTTCTAGCCTACGGTAGGTCAGTGCCTGATCTCGCCATGCAGCGGGGTAAAGACCACCTCCCGAGCAACCATATGCTACACTATACTTACGGGACTAATGACATAATGAACTAGTTGATGTGCCCGAAATCACAATCAATCAAATAAAATGAATTACGTTTTGAAGAATATTCTTTTCAACTATTTTCCAATTCCTTCACTTTACCCCCTCCCTACCTACTCAATGAAAAACGACATATTGTCAATAATTATAGAAGCTGCGAAGATGATAAAATAATGACGCGAATCTATAATACATAATTATATTCGCTGTCGTATTTTTGGCAAGCACCACGAATTTGCCTGGCGATTCAGACCGATATTTTTTAACGGGCCGGTAAGGAGGCCTTCTCGAACGACATTGTATCTAGTGAACCATAACGTGAAAATGACAAAAATGGTCGACAAGATTTTGTTACATGATGCACAGAGATGATAGATTTTTAGCAATTGCTAAAAATTCTAAATGTTACCAAACTCTGAAAAATTGTAATTGTACCGGTTGATCAGTTTAAAACGCAACCCTGCTGTTGGAGGCACTGCACTGGGTGAAAAGTGAAAGAATTGCAACACTGCTTCTGGGCCCGCTCCTTTGACTGCATTTCTGCGACAGTCTCTTCACTTACCCCACCCCTTCCTGTGGTCTGGGTCATACCCATCCCCATAATACTCTGGTCATACCTGCTCAAAGCAAAACTGACTGCATCTTCATTCACAGTTTTGAAGTTAACTTACGATGCACCTCTGCATAGAGCAAAGCAGTTTTGTGATGGAGTATTTCTTAACGCAATCTTTCAAAGAGTGCCAGGTAGGTTTCAGGGGAAAAAATTCATCTTAGTATATTCTGAACAAGAGCTTATTTCGGTTAGTGAAATGCTATCGTGAGTCAGGGGTCGTGTTTGAGCAGAAACGCAATGGCCGAAGTACTGTTCTCACGCAGCAAAAACTAGAGGAAGTTCGGGATGTTATTTCAACTTCCCCGGAAACATTAAGGAAGCTTCAGCAACAATGTAATCTTTCTTACGAAAGTGCGTTGTGCCACAGTAAAATTTAAAATACGTGCATTCAAACAGCGTACTCTAATACATTTCGGAAGCTTAAGGTTTCTGATCGGGCTGGTCGCATTAATTATTGTAATTGGCTACGACGATTTGTTAGCGAAGGTCTTGGGGCATTTGATAAATAATTTTCAATTATGAGACTTGGTTTCATCTGGATGGATATGTTAATCAGCAAAACAAGAGAGTCTGTGGTAGTGACAGATCACAGGAAACAGATCATTGCATTAAAAAAATGATTGGAGTAAGGTGTGCCATTTCTCGTCGAGGATAATTGGACCGTTGTTTTTTAAATTAACAGTAACGGTGGATACATATCGGAATATATTGAGAACTTTTGTATTCCTTCTTGAAATGAATGAGAGAGGTTAATGGTTTCAGCAGGTTGAGGCGACATCATATACTACAATGAAAGTTCTAGAAGTGTTTTTTGCCCAAAAAAAAAACAAAGTTTATGCAAACTAGCCTGGTAATCTCGACGAACTCCAAAGAAACATCGAGGAAGCGATCCGCATAATTGACGCAGAAACTTTACATCGGATTGTAGCAAATGTTCTCAAGGGAGTTAATGCTTGTTTGCTAGCAAACGGAAGGCATTTTGAACATTTTTATGAAGTTGGTTTGTTGCAGATACCACTATGTAATTCATAAATTTATTTTCATCATTCATAATGCATACATTTCTCCTTTATCTATTAATAAACTATAGCTCGGCCACTTAGAAAATCCCTGGACTGCTCATGCGCGAAAAGTGGCGGAGGGGAAGGTTCCATCTCTTAGAGCCTGTTTCACCGGTGCCTGATAAAGTTCCGAATACTTATCTGACAGATATTTTATCCTTCAGATAAAAGTTCCTGAAATTTATTTTGCGTTTTACTAAGGTCTTTCTTGTTACAATATCAGATATCTTCTGATAAATAATCTGACTGATTGCTCTTTCACCAGCGGCAACGCCACATTTTCGAGTCAAACGCACTCTGTGCGCGCGAATTCAAATGTATTTTGGTAATGGTAGTGTCAAGAGTTTTTCGCTTCATTCGTTGTAATTTTGTGTTGCAGTTTACTTCGGCGTGAGGTGTGTGTGACTTCGGTGTAAAAGTTTGTTTTATTGCGTTGTACTTTGTGTAGGAGTTTCAAAATGTAAAGGGGAAAGAAGCGAGAAAGAGGAGTTAATTTTACTCGTGTGGGAACAAACTTGTATCCCTCGTTGCGGGGAGGAAAAATATTATTAAATGTGAAGTAATGGTGCTACCATGTGGTAGGATAGGGATTGGCATGGATACGAAGGTTGCCTTTTATGTTTCGGGATTTGGCAACCCTGGTGTTGTAGTCTGGCAACTGACAGCTCTATCGTAAACTTGGATGTTTTGAGGTTATACGTACCCAAAACGTTTTGTCATACGAGCGCTATTTGTGTTCTTTAACGTAACCCGTTACGTTCTGTAACGTAAAATATTCATTTTGGCCCAAAAGTGGAACTAAATCAGGAACATTTTCGTGCGATTATTTTTTACAACTTTTGACGTGGATTAACTCAGCAACACTGCATGGATGAACTTAATTCAACTTTTGGCGATGAAGCTCCATTGAGGACCAGTGTTTATCGATGGTATGGTGAATTCAATCGTGGTCGTAGTTCACTCCAAGACGAATGTCGCGAAGGTCGTCCAAAACCAGTTGTTGTTCCGAAAACCATTGATGCTGTGCGTGAACTGATATTGCAAGAAAGCCATGTGACCTATCGTGAGATTGAGATAACCTTAGGCATTAGTAGGATCAGCATACATTCAATATTGCATGAACATTTGACTGTCAAAAAAATTTGTTCGCGTTGGATCCCACACAATTTGTCAATCGCTCAAAAAAAGGCTCGTGTCGATTGGTTGAAAGAAATGCACAAAAAAATACGATCGCGGTGCTTCGAAACACGTCTATGACATTGTGACAGGTGATGAATCGTGGATTTACCCGTAAGAGCCCGAAAGTAAACAGCAGGCGACTGTATGGGTGTTTCAAGATGAGCAAAATTCAACAAAAGTTGTTCGCGCACGAAGCACTTCCAATCAGATGGTCGCCTGTTTTTTCGAAAAAACTGGACATGTCGCAACCGCACCAC